AATCCCTATGGTATGATGTTGGAGCACTGTTTGCCGAGAATCGTGTCTTGCTACTGAAACAATTGACGAATTCATCAAAATATTCCGTCATTCTACCAGTTGGATAATTGCGACAATAGTCGCAAATTATTCCTGATAGAAAAAATTAGTAGGCCGTCGTTATCTTGTTCATTGTCGTGCATTAGGAAGTCCTCACAGCCAAACGTCTGCTTGTACCCTTCCAGCAGTACCGAGTCATCTTAGACTGGTTTGGTTTAGTAGTCTGACGCGCGACTCCACATTCCGGCGTCTGACCGTCTGCTTCATGTCATGGCTGGATGGCAATTTTCCGACTACCGTTTGTTACAGTCCTGCATATGCTAAGGCTACATTCTGATGGATAGAATCCTAAGATATTAAGCGCGTACTTTCAGGTCTTCGATAACTTTCCCTAATTCCTGGTTGTTTTTCCTCATTGACGAAATGACGTGTTCATCCGATATGTGCAATCTTACATGACATTTGTTTTCCGGCTGAGTCTGCATTTTTATATTAACTTCTTTTCCGTTTTCTTTTCTTTGATAAACAAGTTACCCTGATGCAGTAACTTCGGTTTCCCCTTCGTACTGGGAATCAGCTGGAAACATTTCTTGATGACTGTCCATTCGAATTACTGCAGATACTATAATAATTGTTTTCCACCAACTGTCATGACCATAACACGTGACATATACAGCAACATCTTAGATGTTCACCTGTAAGGCGAGCAAGTGTGACAAACAATTTTATGTGAACCTTTCTCAAAGGATACACCAAATTTGTATTATAAAACCAGTTTTCTGCAATTAGCAAACCACGTAGCTACCACAGTTTGCCTCGCAGGTATTTACCAATGTTTCCCAAAGAGCACTGTTGAGCATATATGCAGAAATCATGAATAATATAGATGATTTTGGCTTGAGATAAAGAAAGTGATGCATTTTTTGTTGTTGACGTTCAATTTCTTACTTTTCTGTAATAATTCACAATTTCACCCGCATAACATTTACCTGTCAGTCTTTCAGATTTCCACGACGAAGCACCCTCCCCTTGTTTCAAATTGCTTAGGGAACAGTTTAAGAAGGTCGCGGCGCCATGGTATTTTAGCACCTGCAGTGTATGTGCACATTGTTGGATTGAACCAGATCATGTTCGACCATGATTCATAGGCGCATATAAAATAATGAATTTTGTTATTATACATTTGCTAAAAAACTTCTAGCTTTCATTATTGCCGGTAAGAATAATATTCTCCTGTCAGTTCTCCCATTTACACAATTTAGGCGCATCTTTCCTTTTTTATAGCAGTCTAGGTGAACGTTTAAGCAGGCCATGGCTCCGTAGTATTGAAAACTATCAGTTTGCTAGCAAATCCACAGGAACAAGGTTTGTTTTTTTGCTATTTATCCGCATACCTAGTGTCTAAGCTTGTCTGTGGAGGCTGCTTCAGATAACTGTTGAACCAGCTACTGAAAATGTAATGTAGATGTGGTTTTAGCGACTGAATATTTTGAGACTTCTGCTTTTTATGAGTCTATTCCTCTTGTTTTTTTCTTGTGAAGTCCATCAGATTATTTCTTTTCCTCAGATGCCGGTGAGCATCCGTAATTTTTGCATATATTTTCATATTCGAGATTTTGCATTGCTTTGATGTTTAACATTTTAAACATTTAACATTTTTTAAACATTTTTGTGTATATGTTGTATATATTACTAATGTATAGATCATTTACTTTATATCTCAACTTCGAACCGTATTTTTTTTTATTAATGGAGTACATGCTACATGAGTTGCTTGACTGACTAATTTAGATATCGTCGCCGTTTGTGTTTCGGCTACTTCTTCACCGTCCTCCATTCCGGTATTGTTTAATAAGTTTGAGACAATTGTAGATATTTGTTTTTTTTTTCAGAAAGGCGCTACTTATGTTTCAACGTGAGTTCGCCCAACGACTGGTCGCTAAGCCCGGTGATAAGCTGTACTGTCGTTTGTCTGTGAATGCGCAGCTTTTGGCCAAAGTGGACCATGTTATGAAGGTGGGCAAAAATAACTTCAGGCCGCCTCCAAAGGTAGACGCTAGCGTTGTACGTTTCGAGTTGCGAATGCCTCCGCCGCCTATCAATTACCAAGTTAGTGATTACTATTAATGTCGGTGCTATTTTACTAATTGCTTTTATAGGAGTGGGACAGTTTGTTGAGGATC